ACCCCATTCTCACCCCCTATCTCCCACTCCTATATCCTACCCCCTATCTTCTACTCCTATTTTCCACCCCAACCCCATCTCCGAGTGGTAATTTTTCGTTACGCTTTTTTGGTAACGCTTTTTTCGGTTATGTGCCAGAGCTAAGACATGAAAATGTCAAAATGTCATTAAAACCTAAAACTTATGATTGGGCACTCAAAACTTACCGGGACCACTCTAAATAGTATCCGTTAAAATATTGGCATGATTTGATAACTTTTTTTTATTAACATTTAACATCTGCGAAAAACAGTTTTCCGGCAATTAAAAAAAAAATGTACTCCCGAAATTTTTTATTCGTCTAATATTTTATGGATACATAATATTATGAGTTCTGACTCCAGAAAACTGTTTTCAACTATTAGGTCTTATAATTACGGCTGGAAACACGAAAAACTTTGCACCCTTAAAAAAGTAGCAGTCTATACAGACGAAAAAAAACCTACAACATAATGCAAATATATTTCAGATACCAGCTGTTGACTGCTGATTCACCCTTACTCATTACAACCTACAGACCTACTACTTGGAAACTCTTATTGGAATTCATTATATGTGATTAAAAATTACAGTCTGGCCAATAATATGATATCGCTAGTTTAACGTATCAGTTGAATGGCTCTGAAAGAAGTTTCACTTCATCCATGCGAACTGGTTTTAGCTTCGATGGGGAGCTGAGAAGGTATTGTTTTTACAATGATGTGTTTTTATTTTTTATTTTTGTGTCTGGGCCCACGATATCTCGTAAACCGCTGAACCGATTCCTTTGTGTAGCTACTCTAAAGATCAGAAATCATACCTGGAAGGTACTTTAAATGGGCCAAAAATTAAAAAAAGTCACCCCTTCCCCATCAAAATCGAGAAAAACGCCCAAAAAATGTACAAATTTTTTAACTTAAAATTACGATGCTCTATAACTTTTTTTTAAAATAGTCGAAAATGTTCCAAATTTATATGAATTGTTCTTTAAACATAGTATTATCGATAAACATTAACAAACCAAAAAAATATCATAAACCCTTTCCCTTAAAAGGGATAGAATTGTTTATTTTACTTTTTCAAGCAAAGTTTTAGAGATTTAGATCTGAAAATTAGACCGAAGGTAGATCTAAAATGGAACTTTAACATATACAATTTTCTCAAAAATCTGTAGTCAAATTTTTTTTATTAAGGAAAAACCCCAAAAATAGGGTAAATTTACACTTTGGCCGTAGTAAGTTTCTAGGTTGCTATGTGCGAGTGAATCGACAGGCAACAGGTAATGAATATTATTTTTATTATATTGTTAATTACGATATATGGATAACTATGACAGTACATTTTTATAGACAGACGATCAACCCTTATCGTATCCACAAAACTAAATATTAAATTTTAAGGACATTATTAGTGGTCCCACGATATCTTCTAAACCGCTATAACTGGTTTGAACATACTATCCACAGATTCACACCGAAGAGTTTATTTAAAAGTTATTTTATCACTTTTAGTTATAATAAAATCTGTAGACCTGTGACCTCTCCGTCCCCACTATGCCCCAACCCCACTGTACTGGTTTTTTTTTTTAATTAAATTATTGTTTACTGAATTCTTGCCTAAGCTTTTACTCGAAAACACAATTCTTTTACTTTAGAAAAACACTTGTGTGATTCGATGTGCGTTTGAATTTTGCACTGTTTGCATAAATGAAATACAGTGCTCGTTTGTGTTAAAAATATTATACAATGCCAAAAGACTGTGTCTATTTTTTAGATACCCATGTTAAACTTGCGTTTTAATAACGGCGTACGACAAATACTCATGGTCTTTGGATTTTCTAGGCCAACATGACTTGTTAACGATTTTTTTAAAGTTATGATAAAACCACCTATGTGAATCATTTTTTTATTTTTTACCATACAATGATATTTCAAAGTCATTGTGATTTTTCCGCCCTTGGGTAACAAGATTTAGGGAGGGGTGATTTTGGAGTCTCTTATAGCAACCTGTTATTAATTTATTTATGCTTGTTAAGCTATTTTTTCGGTAAAAGAGAATTTGACTGAACTTTGAAGTTTATAACGTCAATTAAAAGATCCGTAGCCTTTTGAAATATTTTTTAAAAAATGAGATTTCTACAATAACCGCAAAGCATTTGAAAGACTTTAAATCAATTAGTTAGATAAATTGGGTTATTATAATTTTTATATAAATATCCACTGTTGAATTAATAGGTTTTGGCTGAACGTGGAATTATCGTTAGCTTCGTTTTTAATAATTGTTTAAAACTAATTTTTTTCTCGTTTTAATTTACTAAAATATAAAATTATTTAACTAAAATATAAAAAAAAAGATGTACATCGTATAATAAATCGTTAGTAGTCAATCAAATTCTAGTTCCTGTTGACTACAGTGAATGGGCAACACCTATTGTTTCAATTTTAAAATCTGACGACACAGTAAGAATTTGTGGTGATTTTAAAATTACAATTAACCCAGTCTTGGAGGGGACGGAGTACCCATTACCTAAAATGGAACATCTATATGCAAACATTAGCGGTTCAAAGTATTTTTCTAAAATTGATCTTAATGATGCGTACCAACAAATGGTAATTAAAGAGACATATCCAAAGTACTACACAAAGGTTTTATTCAGTTACACTCGAAATCCATTTGGTATAAAAATTCAGCAGGTGAATTTCAGAAAGCTGTGGAGCTTGCCACTTCAAATTTAGAAGGGGTAGGTGTATTTCAAGATGATGTAATAATTGCGGGTAAAACGATAGAGCATCATAACGATAGGTTAAAAAAATTACTTGATGTTCTTTCGGAATCTGGTTTAAGAGTTAAAAGAAATAAATGTTGTTTTCTCAAAAAATCAATTGAATATTTAGGTCATAAAATTGATGAGCAAGCCATTGACCATCAAGCAAGCCTTACCATGACGCATGTGACGCTCTGCATCGGAGCTAAAAATCAAACCGTACAAACTACTGTTACTAAAATGATTTGTGGTCACTTGGTCAGAGTGGTCTTGACATCGATAGGTAAAATTTGTAATGCGTTTGTAGTAATGGATACTAACCGATAAGAATTTAGAGCAATGCTATAGCAGGTATAGTTTAGACTACAGCTGAATAATAAAAACAAACGTCGTGTATTATATTGTTATCAGTTGTCAGTTTCATATCAATCAATTATTCTTATTGGAATTTGGATAATACACAGCAGCTATCCAAAAAATTGGCTTTAGCGTCTCTTACATATTGCTGAAAGATCGAAAAAATATTTTACCCCCTTCACTGCGCGTCTTTTGCTACTAATGTTAATAACTCTAACACTAATTGTTCGAACTAAGCTTGCGTTATGTAATTTTTCTTAAAATAATATTATCTATTTAAAAACGAAATTATTTAAAGGGGTTACTATTAGAAAATCGGAAGTTGGTGTTGAGTTTTCGTGGAAGGGAGGGAGATACAAAAAAAAAAGTATTATATAATAAGTTGGTTCACAGTTCATACATTTTTTTTTGTAAAAATCTAAGTAGTTTTTCAGTAAAGTAGTGTAGAGCGTTAAAAGAATCCCCCTTTATATCGGTAAAATATATTTATACTTATGATAAAATATATGTTCGAGATTTATATATAATATAACTCTGTAAAATGTATTAGTTATAAACTTTAAATCGTTTTTTCCCAAAACTATAAATGTTGAGTTGTAGCAGTCTTGTTCTAGAAGTACGAATTGTCTCTTTCGGACAACTGTAAATTTGACATTGCTTTTACTCTATCCTTGTTGAAAACATAAAAAATAGTAGTATATCTTTTTAAATATTTACTGGGTCACAGTTTAACTAATCACCCTGTATAAATACTTTGCATACATATACACAGTTGAATCAGTATAATTTAACAACGGTTTATATAATTAATAATTTATATTTTTGCACACGAACAATATGAGTTTTAACCAATTACTATAATGGATAATATGTATTTTAATTTTCAAAAAACGTGCGCTAGATTTGTAACAGTAGTAAGATGGAAGATTGGAATGTAGCTTATCATGAACGTCATTAAAATATCATTTTCAGCCTTTTTTGGCTCCGAACTTAAAAAATTGAAGCGATATCTTTTTAGATGAGAATGTAATATATTACATTCCGGTTAATAATGTGTATTAGATAATGGATATTAAATAGATATACAGCATTAAATAAAATTATTACAATTAGAATGGACAGTATAAACTCAATTCATCCTAATTCGATTAACTTGGGACACAATTGAAATTTCGTTTATATTTAAATCGATTATTTACTAAAATATAAATCTTTAAATCTTTAAAGATTTTTAACCAAAAGCAAGTACATTTTTTAATTAAAAAAAATTATCTCACCTCGCTCATTACTATAAAATATGTAAAAGATATGTCCAACAATTATCTGAGATAACTCCCCATTGATTAAACCTTTTTCTTTGCACACAACGGATTTAAACGACTTATCATAGCTCAAGTATTTTTTTTTTTTACTACAGCATAATAGCAGCACAGAGAACCGGGAATTAATGTATCCCGGGGAAGCTGGGTGATAATAATACAAAGGCATATAGGTGTTATACAAAAACACATTTTAAAATAGTCATTGTAGTAGAATATCAACATACTATTATAACATACGAATAGAAATTAGAAACTTAATTAATCTCATAGGTGCCTACCATTTTGATTACAATTCTTATTAAAAAAAAAAACACTAGAGTAATACAAATAAATAAACGATTCCATTAAATGCGTACCTACGATATAATTATTTTATGTTAAAAAAACTATTAACAAAATGTAAAACGTCATGCAAGTAAAAAAAAAATAGCCATAGAACATTTTAAATTGTGTTATCTTAGCAATTAATGGCGGCCACTTCTATCATTTAATCAGAAACGTTATCACTAAACTTTATCAGGCGATGGCTTGCTTGACGCTTGTCTCGTTCTTTGAAACCGTCTACACTCAACATAATATTACACTGTACACAGCAAGTACATAGCAAGTCTGAATAGTTAGAATCTATTTTGTTAATTGTTTTTCTAGTCGTTAAATAAAATTTCATTGGCAGTCGTTAATACCGTTTGTTCGGAAACTAGAAAGGTAATAGGCGTATGCAATAATTATGTAAAATAGTTATTTTAATTTACTCGAGAAACTGTCGATACGCAGAATTCTATCTATAAATCAATATTATGGTTGTTAATTTGTTTGTACTTTATATTTAATATTATGAGAAGGACGAGTGGCCTAGTGGATAATGCCGGGTCCACACAGAGATTTATAAAAATAACAAAACAAAAACTCACCTTCTCTTCTGTTTAGAATACCTACCTAAACAAAACTGTAAAAAACATTTATTCAGACTGAATTAACAAAAACCTCAACAAAATTCAAATATTATGGTTGTATTTTTTTTTTTTTTTTTACAACTAGCCCCATACTGAAAATATGGTTTTAAAAATGTGTGTTTGTTATAATTGTTTACTAGTTATCTAGTTTGTTTTGTTTCAATTTAGTTAGTTTGCTCTGTGTGGACTCTGCATAAAGCTTCAGTAACTTTGGCGCTTACTGTCATCGGCTCGACACTTGGTCTCAGGCTCTGTTTGTCGGATGAGAAATTATTTGGTTAATAGGAGGTTCCATCCTCCTCTCCGACGTCAGTGAATTAGTCTAGTAACCATCATCTCATGATGGCAGGGTTGGGCCTTCAAGGCATGTTAAGCTTACATGTTGATGATGATTATATTTAATATTATACATAAACTATAATATTAATAACTATTTATTTTACTAATTAAAATGTTTTTATCATTTCCAGACACGTAATAAAACGTTTAACTAAATTTAAAATAAAAGCGGATACCCAAAGAATGTTTGACCACAAAACCCAAAACTCTGAACTTCACAATTGCCATTTTTCAGGTAAGTTACAAGTACAATTTAATAATGTTAATTTTTCATATTAATTACAAAGTATGATGTTCTTATAAGTTTTCTACTTTTTAAAACTTAATCATTCCGACTGTGTAAACAATTTTAAACAATTTTCAGTTATTTTATATCAACTAAATACTGTAATAACAATTTTGATTTTCTAGCAACTATAGAATTTAAATAACTAGATAGTTTCTTTTTTTTTACCTTATTCAATAGAAATGGGCTCGAAAAATGTGCTTTCTTTGTCACCATTTTTTTTTTTTTATAAAATTCTACTAATTCCATATCCTTATTTATCACATCCGACTGCTTCTTCTTTGGTGTATCTCTACCTCTAAATCTTTATATCGTAGTTCTTAACTTGTTTTACTATTTCAAATCTTAACCAAAAAAATTATTTTAATTCTAGAATACAGACTTATTATCTACAATTTTTTACATTTACGCTGTAATAAAATATTCATTGATATTTATTAGGAATAACACCTGGAAGAATTTGGGAATTAAAACTGAAACAGTCGAGAGTCGGATATATCTTAGACGGAAAATGTATGTCAGCCGTTGGAATCACAAATTTTGAATAGTTTAGTGAAAAATTTGAAATTAAATTACTCAAAAAATGATGAACTAGAAATGTGCTCAGAAGAGAACTGTGGAAAATACATATAGGTAAAGAGATTTCTGCAGTAAAATATTCAAGGCATTTTTAATTTATAATTTGGCAGTGTTATTTGGGTTATTAGGTTCCACACGAGTTAAATTAAGAAACCTTAAGTAAAAAAATATTTTCAAGTTTAGTTTATTTCAAATAATTGCTATACTAATATATTAAAATAAATAAATCTTAGAATATATTATGCTAAATAGAAAAATCATTTGATTTATACACAATTGTATTTTTTTAATCAACGTGTCATAATTAACTTTCAGTTTTGGTGAAAATGTTTTCAAGGATGCTGAAATAACAATCGAAGAAAAAAATGAAACTATCGATTGCAACTATGTAACAAAGATAAAAATCAAAGAAAAAGATGAGCCATTTAATACACAATTTTGCGATGACTTTGTGAAAGATAAAACCAAAATACTTTAAAGAAACTTAAGTAGTTTGACAGAATAGAATGTACCCAGAAACAAGAATAGATGAAAATACATACAAGTAATGTGCCTTTTAAGAAATTTAAAATCCCTAAGCTCATGCGATTAAGATAATCTGCTGAGCATATTAGTGTAGGCATTTCACGAAAATTTATAAATAATTTAAAGTAGGTTTAAAAATGTATTTTTTTTACCAGAATCGAATAGGGAGTAATCATTATGTTTAAATTTTGGACATCATGCTAATAAGAACCATCTTAGTGCATACATTCTAGATCCCAATAATTAATGCATTCAACTAATATTTGTTCATTTTGAATTCATATGTATATAATGTATATCTGTGGCTTGGAGCAAGAAGGGCCAATGTCAATTTTGTGCATAAACGAGTTAGTCCGCTAATTTTAAAAATCGAATCATTCTCTATATACTGTGAAAAAATCACACTCTGAGGCTAAAAAAGGAATTACTCATGAAGAGTTTGATAAAAAAAATTAACATAGAGCCTAATGGAAAATAAAAACTTCAAAGCTCATTTTCCGAAAGTTGCAAAAAGTGACATTGGCCTTTCTTGCTCCAAGCCACAGATATATTAGTATATAAGAATATATATATATGTATATATATATTTATTAATAAAACTATTGTACATGTTTTAGTGTTGAGATGACGAGCAATAGACTGAATATTAAAACTAAAAGAAATAGGAGTTACATATTTTCACTCGAAAAGAAACAGACAGATGATGATCGACAATGAAAAAATGGCAAATAAAAAAAAGGGTTGTTCCACTGCAACGTGTGTCATTTTGTAAAACCGCAGGCTAATACTTAAAAAAAGGAGAACAATTGCTCTGAAAACCCATTGTCAAAATTCTTGAAACTACTGCCAACAAACATGATCTAAAGGAATAAGGCTGCCACAAATGTGATGTCTATTTAAAGTCTTTAGTAAACTTATGTTTGCGTTCAAGATCCGCTTGCAGTTTACGATTTTATAAATTTATTATATTGTTAATGTAAATTGGAATTTTTATTTACAATAAAATATTCTACTTGTGTGTTTATAATATTACACATAATGTAATTATATTAGGCACATTGTATAAACTTTTTCTTTGTACTCTAGAGTATATTAATTGGAGTACTAAAAATTAAAAAATTATTTACATAATATTTTTTTTAAGTTGTTTATTAACTGTAAAACATCAATCTTATAAAATCCTGTAAAATAATTAAGTTAAAGCTTTATGATAATAAGATTAAGATAAAAATTTCTTACAAACTTGTATGGACCAAAATAATATATTTTCTCCTTGATGTTGGGAAACCTTTTTTTTAAAAAAAAATGTGTAGTTTTGGGTTATGAAAATTAGACTGGAGGTGGATCTAGTAAGGCTCTATAACATACAATATTTTTAAGTCTAGTCAAACTTTTTTTTTAGAATATATGTGGGATTTTACAATATTATAAATATTCCAATTGACTAGTCATGACGTACAGTAGATTATTCTCCAACTCAATTGAAAATGTAAAAAGGTAAATTTAAAATAGTCAAATTGGTTGGTTAAATATGTTGGGAATGTTCTTTTGAACATGAGAAAAGGTTGTTTCAAATATTAAATTAGTTGAAATAATTAAAAAATTCAATTCAATTAGGTACAATATTAATAAATAGTTAGTTGAAAAATATTGATGATTAATTTGCTTAAAATAACGATTTGTATAATATTATAATTTATAATAATAATTAAATTTTTCCAAGTAGAATTTAAAGTGTAGATAAATAATATTATTTATTTGATTTTATTACAGTAATTTATAAACTATGGCTATTATATTTTTTTTATATGAATGTAAAATTGAACTAAAATCATTGTTCGTTGGGCTGTCATAAACAATTACGCAAGTAAACTTTTTTAAAAATGAAATTTGAACTGTGTTTAAGATTAGTTTTCTGAAAGCAAAATCTTCAATTTCACCGGTTAAGTTAATTTATTTTCATGTTCTGCGATTCATAATTCATAGTTTTAAATAATCTACCTTTGACCTTAATTTATCATTATATTAATATCAAACCTACTTGACTTCAGCTGTTTTTGTATGGAATAATTTAACTTATCTTTTGAAATTAAGGTCAAAAAACAAAATACAAATGTACAAAATAATAATAACATAAAATATTTGATAAAAGAGTCATATTTGTAAAAAAAAACAGCGACTCATTAATTTTTTAGAATTTTTCATTAAAACAATATTACTAAATACTTATATTTTACATTAACAACGAGGTTTGATGTTCAAAACGAAAATCCGGTTGAACAGTGATCGAATATGTATGCGAATTCTGCAGACTATTTGAATAATTCATAGTTAATGATTATTTTAATAATAATTCAGTACGGTTGTATTCAACATCGAATACCGAACAAGACTAGGTATGTTGTTATGTAATATCGCAGACTATAATAATATGAGACTCGATAGACTATAGTCTGTATTAGTAATATTGCGGACAATAATAATAAATAATATCACGAGTACAAGTACCTACGGTAAAATTATGAACGGGCAGAACTCGTATTTTTTTGTGCATTATTCATAACGGTTTTTTTTTTGCGCTTTCGCAAAACTGAAATCGCTAGTGAAAAAATAAAAGGGGGAAAACGGTGATGTTTTTGAGTTACATTATTCGTTATCAGTCGCTTATCAATGAATTTGACAAACTTTTTCATTGTAAACAGCGGCAACCTCTCCGCCCCCCCTCTTCTTCGGCTTCTACCGTCCATACCACACCGCATTATCACTCACCACAAGCGTATGTTTTTTTTTTTTTATTGTATATTTTCTTTCTTTCTGAATTTTTCGCTCTCGTTTTTCTCGCCATCGACCGTCATTGTCGTTTTAACGATATTTGCCACCGTCTCGTGAGTTGTGTGTGTGTGTGCGCGAGTTAAAACTTAAAATGGTCGTTTCCATTAGAAAAAAAATTCATTAAAAAAATACTCATGTAGGCCACACCGTTGCTTTAGTAGTACTACCCGGCGATGGCCCGTGCTCTTTTCCGCGTTAACGTCGTCCACGATGTCCGTTTGATATTATAATTCGAAAAATAATAAATTCGTCTATTAAATGTTAATGGTTTTTGGTTTGCAACCGAAACCGCTATGGACTACCCTCCCGTGCATGAAGGTATGTACATATATACAGTAGCTTCTAAAGCAATTTTAATTTTCATTAAAATTCTTCGAGTAAAATGTTATATATATATATTTGTTTTACCCTCTCGGCAATGCGTAAACTCGTTTTGTAAGTTTAAATTGTTCAAAACGATTTGGAAAAAAAAAAAAACAAAATACACGGGTAGGTATTGTTTGTTGGATTCGAAACAAACAGACACTGTTCTAGGTCATGCCAGCGATGAAATTTCCAATTTTTTTTCCCCTCAAAATTATCGACTTTTTTTGATAAGATGCTTAAAACGTTGCTTTGACCGTTGCTTAAAATGTACTCACCCGTACCGAACGATAATTTTTTCTTAACATCTTGGTTATTGTATTATTTTGATGAGTATACAATTGGCTGGAACAGATTTACTGTGTCGAATGTTTTTGATTATTTGCGTTCTTTTTGTCTAATATCGTCAAGAGGCTAATCTAACCTAACCTAACTTTTGTCTATTCTGAATTAGTGCTGTATTATTAATAAAGAAAATAATAATATTGTTAAAGGGAAGTAAAAGAGCTTTTGAGAAATCCGTCTTCTTATCAAAACGGTAAATTTTAAATATTATAAATCCATTTTTATGATTTTAAGAAACCTTCAAAATTACAATTTAACTAATAGGTATGACTTATTTGGGCATAAGCAACATTTTGTGATACATGATAAAAATGTCGATAGTATGATTGTATTGTATTTCAATTTTTTTTGTCATATGGCAATCGGTTTTAACACTAAATGAAATTATTAATTAAGGTAAGGGTAGGTTTGCACTCGCAATAGCTTATTTACAAAAACGATAATCGTTTTAAGTTCAAATAGAGTCTGTAAATTTTTAAATTGCAGTATTGAAATAAAAATAAAATTTAGATTCTAACATAAATCACCATAGTTTTTGGCAAAGTAAACATATTTCGCACATTCGGCAGTTCATACATATTAAAATAGGTTAATCATTTTTTGTATCTCCTATGAAACTGAACAACATTTGTGTTCAATATTGCTATAATAATTGAAAACAAATATTGTAATTAATATAAAATGATAAAACCTACTTATTTATTGATACAAGTGTTTCATCACATAAATGCCACTTTTACGTAAATAATTAAAATAAATAAACTGAGTCTGTTGTTAGTCATAATGTGTAATATTTGGCTGGGATAACTATTAAAAATGTACCTACTTATGTTTAGTAATTTTATGATTTAACATTATGTCGAGACATCAGTCATAACTAAATTTGATGGTATATTAAAAAAAAAATATTACGTTAATTCAAAATTAAATTTTAGAACACATGAATTTTGTATGGATGAACGGAAACGATGTTTTTATATCACAGTTGCAGAGCGACCACGCTTTGGGAACAACAGCCATGGATCCTGTGTTTTACGAAAACACAATACCACAACTGGAAACAATTCAACCGAGAATAGTATGTATCAGTTAATTTAAAACACAAATATTTCGGTTCGTAAAAGTCAACTGTATTTGTGCAGATTAACCAATCGTGTACAGACTCTTCAGTGTAGGTAATAATTTCTAATTTTTTTAGGAAATGAACAATTATATTGTTTACGACCAAACAAAAGACGTTGAAAACTCATCTGGAATTTGGGGTTTCAAAAACAACGAAGAAAGCCAACATATAAACGAGGGTTGTGCACAAGAGAAAAAAGGTTCTGGTTCGCGAAAAATCAAACCTATACAAAACCCCGCACTCAAGTTGAAAACCCCAATTGCATATCAACGAGACTCCGATCCTAATATGTTACCAATCGAAAAAGAAGGAAGAGGTAAACCGTACCTACATAATATATTGGTGTTTGGAAAGTTAATTAAAATAAACAAACTAATTTATGTTCGACGTCAAAAAAACCAACACATATTTGCTTGCAATCATTTTAAAAATCGCTATCGCAGATGAACAAAAAATAATAATGGCTTGTTCGAAAATTGAACACTTTATTTCCAAACACTGAGTATAAAAATGTATATCGTCTTAAACGTTACTGTTTAGGTGTTGAGACAAATAGAAATTGACTGCTTGTTTTTACACACAAAACGAATTTGAATGTAATTAATTAAAATTGATATTATACGTTTTTTTAGCTGTATGTGTTAATTGTGGAGCGATCGGCGTCAAGCATTCGTTTTATACCAAACGAAGAAACTATTGTAGTCAGTCATGTGTTAAAGCAGCAATAGAAACGTGTGAAGATTTGGGCGAAACAACGAGTCAATCTGCTCTAGAAGAAACCGAAGTGTCGGCAACCAATCAATCAAATGAAAATTTGTCTTTAAACGAAACAGTAATTGCTTCAATTAAATTATTTGTATTAAGAGGATTGGATGCGGTCTGTTACTGAGGAGTTTTGTATAGGCAATATTTAATTTTGGGTCCGTCAGCAGGAGATTGTTAGTCAATTAAATTTAAAAAAAAAAAGGCCAGTGGAGTCCGAACAGAGTTAGGACCAAGTATCGTGGGGACGTGGGAGGGCACAGATTTACATTTATTATAACTGAAAGTGTTAAAATCACTTTCAAATAATCACTTCAATGCGAATCTGTGGTTAGTATATTCAAACCACCAGTACAGTCCAAACTAAGCACTTAGCATCAAAGTTTTTATTTGCAAGTGATTTTATCTGACTAAGCCAGTACAGTAGTAGGTTGGGGCATAGTGGAAACGAGGAGGTTAGGTTACTGGTATACAGGATCACTTTAAATAGGTCTTCATAAAAATATTACTTAAATATGATGTGATAATTTTTTTCTAAATTATAACGTGTTTTTGTGAAAATATAGAAACACTGAAAAAACACTACAGACTAAAAAAAAGCTCACATCAAGTAAAACCTATACCCTCTCAGCTTCGTATCGAAGCTAAAACCTTAAATATCATAATTTTTTTTTATATAAACCATATATATTAGGTTATTTTAATAAATAAAAAATAATAACTTTTTATAGCCAAAACCGGATGTGAATAATTTTCTCAATCCAATCGCTAAAGAACAATCTGTTGCACAACAAAAAACAGACGAGGAATCTAACGACGACGAGTCAGTTTCGTATGTAATGTATCCCACAGACGATGATGCACTTTTTCCACCAGACAAAAGGCCGTGTCGTCCCGTGCAACAATCGTACAACTGGGTCAAAGATTTGACGACCAAAAACTATCAAGTGGCGCCGGTGCATTGTTTTCGTTACGTACGTGTATTGTTTATTTGACTGTTAGTTGTTATTGTTTAAACTAAAAAGAAAACCATAATTTACTTAGGCTCCGATGTCGGATTGTTGGGACGATATGACCGTTGGTATTAAAGTGGAAGTAGTCAATACGGATTGTGATAATTTTAGCGAAGAATATCCGGATTATTTTTGGGTTGCCTCCATCGTACACATTGCGGGTAAGATTCCAAGTTTTATTTGATTTGGCGACTTGATTTTTTAATCGTTACAATTACTTTGTTATTTTAGGGTATAAAGCAAAATTAAGGTACGAGGGATATGAATCGGACGACAGCAGTGACTTTTGGGTAAATTTATGCTCTAGCATAGTGCACCCTGTTGGATGGTGTGCGACCCGGGGTAAACCCTTAATACCGCCTAAATGTAAGTCTCGTGTGTGTTTAGACTATAAATTATATAATGTTGCACTGACAAATTGATAAAAGTACAATTTATAATCTTAAATTTATTATTTTAGCTATTCAATCTAGGCAGCGTGATTGGAAGGAATTTTTAGTTCGACGTTTAACTGGAGCGAGAACATTACCTTCAAATTTTCGCATGAAAATTTTCGAATCTTTAAAGTCCAAATTTCGGTAAGATTTAACTTTAAAAAAAAACGAGGCTCATTGTATTATTGTCAAATTACGATTAATTATTTAAATGTAAATTTGTATTTACAGTATTGATTTAACTCTCGAATTAGTCGACAGAGAATATATATCAAAAGTGAAGGTGGCTAACATTTTAAATATAATCGGTAAACGGTTAGAATTGAGATACTACGATGATGAAGAACAAGGTAATTTTATTAAATCACCTTTTTTTTTACTTCTTCGATTGTATTAAACTGACATTATTATTAATTTTTTTTTTTTTGTCATACAAGTGTTTTGGGTACACGAGAATTCGCCATTGGTTCATCCGGTAGGTTGGGCCGGTCGGGTAGGCCATGACTTGTGCGCATCCGATGAGTATCGTGATCGTATATCCAAAGGACTGCGAGATAAGGACGACGCCACCGAAGATCTGTTTCCCATGTCGTTGTCGCATAGAGCTGGATTTCTAGTGGGAATGAAATTGGAAGCAATCGATCCTCTTAATCTTGCTACGATATGTGTCGCGACAATTATGAAAGTAAATACTATTAGTAGAACCTATTGATTTTGTATTTTAAAGCTAAGCCACCAAACATTTAACATAGAATGTTAATGAGGTAATTTTTGGAATGAACGTTCCAAACACTGATTGGAAAATCCTAATGTACGAAGTAGTAAAGAGTGATAAGTGGCGATGGCTTATCTGTAGACTGCTATTAAACTGACAATACTAGTTATGAAATTATATTTGGTTTATAATTATTTAAACAATTTTCAGGTGTTAAACGACGGCTACTTGATGATCTCCATAGACTTCTACAACAGCACTCCGAAAGATTGGTTTTGTTATCATTGTAGTTCTGCTAGTATTATGCCGGCTGGATTTTGCGACACTCATGGCATAAATTTGAAACCTCCTCAAAACTACTCTGAACCGTTTAAATGGAAAGAATACTTGGAACAATCGGGCAGTGTAGCAGCTCCTAAACATCTTTTCGACCTGGTAAAACTATTCATTATGAATTTATACACATGTAAACATCTCACGCTGTTACTATTTTAAACCAACTAAATGTTGTTCTAGGAGGTGCCTAAACACGAGTTTCAAACCGGTATGAAACTTGAGTGCACCGATTTGATGAATCCTCATTTAGTGTGCGTCGCGACCATAGCGAGAATCGCCGGAAGACTCGTCGAAGTTCATTTTGACGGATGGGAAAACGATTTTAACCAGTGGGTGGATTGTTGTTCGCCCGACATATTTCCAGTTGGCTGGTGCGAGCTGGTCGGATACAAACTCGAAGGACCCGTTGTCAGTCAGCAGACTAACGGTAATTGTTTGGTGTAATATTTTGTGTTTGAGTTGATGACCGTGTGTGGTGTCGACATCAACAGTTAATGTGTATAACTACGGTTTTCTCTTTGCAGAAGTGCGGCACGCCAAACCGAAAGTGAAAAAAGCTAAGAAGCGAATAACAATAAAAAAATCCACCGAACTATCGCGTGTGATGCCATCAGCTATCCCAACATCTTGTTACACTTCGTTCGATGTATGCATAATACAATTTTTGATTTGTGGTGGCTTATTAAAAATAATTTTTTTTTTTTTCCTTAACTGTTTTTCAGTTATGCCAGACTTGGGCGGCAAATAATAAAATATCTTCAAACTGTGAAAGAAGTCCAGTTTCGGCCACCGAACCTTTGGGTCCGGATCAGTCGTTACCCGTTGCTTGTGTATGTGTCCACTATCGATCGTTAAATGTCGATTTTTATTTAAGACTGCACATTATTCATTGTTTTTTTTTTATATTTAGAATGTAACTACTATAAAAGAGGACCGTTCATGTGACAAATCTTTCCTAGAAACAGATGCCGAAACGTGGAGCGAAAGAGACGTGTGCCAATTTTTGACGTTCAACCACTGTGCAGCGTATTGCGGTGTATTTGTAAGACGATCACGTAAAAATGTATTTTTTTTTTGTTAGATATTTACATTTATTTTTTTATTGGTAGAACGTCGATGGCAAAAAACTGTTGAACCTCACAAAAGAAGAGATTATCCACATGACTGGTAACAAAGTGGGACCATCGCTGAAAATCTTTGATCTTATTCAACAGTTAAAAAACAAAGCGAAAAGGAAAAAATATTTATGAACTGCGCTTTTATTATTTTTAGGAACAATTTGTAAAAAAAATATTTTTAAAAATGTCAGATTTGACACTTTTATTAAATTAAACCATTGTATTTAATTTTAACGTATATTACAAGCTAATATTACTAATAGTAATTACAAATAGCAATAGCGTAACTTTTCAACTTATAACTTAAACTATGCAATATTTTGAAACGTTGAACGAACCTTTTACATGGTGATGTATTAAACAACCAAGAAACGATATGTCGAAAACGGCAAATAGAATAATTTTACGATAAAACCACTTGCTCAAAATTGTGCCCTTACTATATTGTTATAGAGAATTGTACTGATTACAGTCTTTAGAAAATTCGAATTTATATTATGAAAAATTGTAAAATGTTTATTGACAAATGTTTAAATAATAATTAGTCTAATTTCTAAGTTATAATGTTGAATTTTAGATTACGAATCGATTATTTTTCTAAAAACTATTATTGTATTTCATTCGCATCGTCAAATGTGAGATTTAAGTGCTTTTAAATTTATATAAAATATTTTAGTATTAAAACGACAATTTGATGTATTGTACACGATTTGCCTTGTATAAGTTAGCTAATATTATAATGTTTACCTATATTTGACAGAGTAAATGCTTGTTTTACAAAATAAATAATTCAATGTGATTTGTTTGGATGTTGATAAGTCTTGGTACAATGATAAATCTTAATTTTGTTTGTTTATAATAATAATTATTATACCTATATTTTTTTTCTGTAATTAAATAAACAACAAATGACAGTAGATGCGAACAAAACCGATCGTCTATTGTCGTCTTGATCTAGTTTTAAAAGCGTTCTTTTCCATCATTGTTGCATTGTTTTTTATTCCTTGTGCGTGTCGTTAAGTTGTTCGCTCTTATGATTTTATTCTACAATCTTGAAATTGTTGTAACTATGAAGAGCAAACTTGCCTAAAAAAATTTTTTTTGTGTCTTTTAATTTCAATAATCTAACTGGATTTTTACGTTATTTATCGGTTTATCGATTGCATCAAATTGCTTTTTTAATACTATTTTATGTTATTATTATAACTGTATTTTAACCGACTGTTGTCGTTGAAAGTTTTTAAATGATTTTTTAATTAATTAAAAATTAATTTTTGTTTGACCGACAACGTGTTATGGCACGACTAAACGTAAATACACACTTGTCACGGTTTATGGCACGTCTCTGATTAGACGGAGGCCGATTTAGAAAACCCAGAGAGGGGACTCCCTCCTCCCCCCTGTTTGACAGCTGATCGGAACGTAAACAATAACAACGTTTTGCTTATCGTCGGCGTTGTTGTTTACGGTGGAAACGCAAATAAATAATAATAATAATTGATTGCGAGGAGACAATTGCGTCTTAACAACGTCGTCGTCGTCGTCGTTTTTTTTTCCCGCTATTGTCGTCGAAGCAAAACAATGTTATCGATTCCTCCCGCCGGTCGAGCCGGTGTACGATATTATATATTATTATAATATCGTGTGTTTTCAACACACATCAACGTTGTCGAGCATAAGGGGACTCGTTTGTGTGTGTGTGTGTGTGATTTGACGGATAGGGAGGGGGAAATTGTTTTTCAGGGTCGGCCAAAATGTGTCGGTTCACTACGGCCCCTCCCCCCCCGCCCGGCCGGCCGGCCGGCGACAGCTCTGGCGAGCAGTTCCTTCTCCGAAAACGCGGGCCCGGCGTGCGTGGCCTTCGGGCGGCCGGCCGGTCGAAAAACATGGTGGCCGCGTGTGCGCGCGCGGCGTACGAATACCGGTGTGCGCGCGCAACCCGCGTCGGTGGTGGTAACGACGGCGGCGCGTACGGCACAGCTGTTTCCCGCCATAACGCAGTCCATTGTGTCGGTGTACGTTCGTGTGGTAACGTCAGGCGCGCGCCATTTTTTTTCTCCTCTCTACACCGTCCGTTCGGATAAACATTATTATATTGTTCGCAACGCAATCGGGCCGAGACAGCCGCGATCCGTTTGCCGACGCCGTGTAAGTTGTTCGATAAAATTTTTTTTTAAAACTGTTATCGGCCGCGTGCGTGAGTGCGAGTGACGAAAACAAAAAAAAAAACACCGAAATTAACGACTACCCGGCGTGTACTCGCGGTACGCGGTGAGCAATTTCGAGCGGCGGCGGCGGACCGTCGTGAGTACATATACGACGCCGCACGCTCTTCGGTGGCTGCGCGTGATTTTGGCCACCGCGGACGCCAGCACCACCGAGTCATGGACACGGCCATAACGATCAGGACGGAAGACCGGTTCGACGATTTACAGCAATACGACCACGAGGACCTGAACTATTGCAGGTGAGCGCAAAATATTTTACAAACCCGTCGGCTTTGCGTACGCGCAATAATTAAATACCTAGGTGTACACTCTTGTTTGTTTTACACGCGTAGCGAAAATATTATCTCACCCGGTACACGCCCGCCACAGACGTCAGCTGTTGTGTATTTTTTTTTTTTTTATCTGCCGCTGCACTTCAGAATAATAATAATAATAATATTGTACAAATACATTTTTATCGCATTCCTCCGCTCCCGATAAGAAACCGTACACTGTCGTTGTTGTTTTAGTAAAAAAAATATAAAAATATCCGTTTTTGATATTTTACACTTGAGTAGAAATAGTACAATAATAATAATAATTATAAACCACGCAGTCGCTTCTTTTTGCCTCATTATTATTATTTTGATCCTTCCAACGTGACGGCGGCGGCCGGTGCGGCAGATGGTCGCCGGTATCCAGCTGTTGGGCCAGCTGTCCTCCCCTATTGTCGTCCCCACCGCGTGCCCGGCTCGTTGCAGCCGTGTCGGCCGCCGCAACAACCGGTTTATTATTATTTTTTTTTTTGCCAGACCGTACCAGCTGTCGAAATCGGTACCTAATGTAAAAACCGCAAAGACCTTTTGGTCTTTTCAACGTTTCTCCGGTCACGACATCTAGGCCATCGCGTTGAGCCTCTTTATTTTTTTGTATTGTATTATTTTTCGGTAAGGCCCTCCCCCCCCCCCAAAATAAAGAAAAAAAAGAAAACGGCCGAAGGTCGTCGTTTGCCGGCCGGCCGGCGAAGACGACGGGCCGCCGGCGGCCGTAAGCGTGCGCGCCCGCGCCGCCGTGCCCGTCTCGTCTGGAGGTCATATATCGGCGGCCGCCGAGACGCGTCGTACCCGCGTCCACGGCGGCGGCAGCAGCAGCAGCAGCTGACGGTCGAGGATAATAATATTTTTGTCGTAAGTCTGGAGGCGATTTGATCGCCGGGTGAGGGGCGCGGAGGAGGGGTGGGCAGCCAGACGACTGTAATTTATGGCGCACAAAAGTACCGCAAGGACGTGGTCCGAAATTATTTTTTTTTCGCATTGTACCTATATGTATATATTTATATAGTGTACTCAGTTTCGAAATTTGCTCGCCCGCAGTAGAGATTGCACATTGTTATTTCGGATTCATGGCCACGGTAAAATAACTACACACGGGCGGGTGCGCGATGGTGTACAAAGAAGCCGCCCCTCGTGTACACATTGTGTCTCGGAAACGCTTATCTATTCACAGAGACGATAAATATGTATACCGTTAGTCACTGGCCGTGTGTGTGTGACTCACGGCCGTATTCGCCAAACGCACACTCGTATGACGCTGACGGCGGAGTTGGCTCTGGAACATGACATTATGCATTGTATATTAATTTAGACCAGACCTCTCCGGTGTGTGTCTTTTCGGACAGCGATTTAAATAAATTTGAAGAAAAAAAACCCACTTTTGTCTGTTAACATCAAACGCGTGTGTCTAATGTATTCCAAAACATGTGCAGAAAGCTTTGTTGTTGGGGGGGGGAGGAGGAGGAGGTGGTGGTCGACAATACTTGGTCGCACACAAAGCTAGAATTTTAACACACGAAAACCTACGGCGGGCGCGCGTGGGCCTCGCCGGTGGTGCCGCGAGGTTGTTGTAAACAGGTGTTTTTCTTTATTGTTCATATTATATTTAATTGTACACAAGACGTAATGTCGCAACGTTTTGCAACGTGTTTGCCCCGAACGGGAGGGTGGCGCGCGTTTTTTTTGGCAAAATACAAAAGCTGTGCCATTTTCGCCATCGCTGTCGGGGTAGGACATCATATTACTTGGATAAAAATTGCTTTTTCGTCAAAACGTCTACTTTAGACTGTGTTTAAAAAAAAAAAAAAAACCAATAATTTCCTCTACACGTGATTCGACATAACATATTCACGTATAACATGCGCGAGCACGGAGTGGGTACCTCGTTAGACAACACACGTTTCTTATGTTTAGTAAGAAACTCGAAAAAAAAAAAAAACCGCCACAAGGTGTTTACAATCTACACCACACACACACACATACCAATGGGCGTGCTTCTTCTTTTCTGGGCCTTAAGAGCACCTGTCGTTCCCCCCCCCCCACCCCACAGCCGCTGCCGTTAGACCTACACGCATATGCATTTATAATGGTGGACGGCCCTCGTCGTCGATTCAGAGAAACGCTCTCTCTCTTTGGATGTGTGAATATACACAATAATAGGTATACAGTCTGTTGGCAGCATAATAATAATATATAACGGTCGTTTTGAAAACGTCGTCACGTTTCCCAACCTGCCCCAACGTCACATAACCGCAGGATTGTTTCCACGAGAGCGAAGAGAAAGACCGAAAAAGAGAGGGGGGAGAGGGATGGATGCGAAGACGATGTGTGTGTGTGGTATATATAAGTGCAAGTTAAGTTGAGACGAATAAGAACGAATAGAGAACGGTTGCACTGTCGTTTCGGACTTGGTAGTTTTGCACAGAATGTGTATGATATGTAGAAAGGGCTTTTTTATTAAAAAAAAATGGGTCAGCCGGGTTGGCGTACAACAAAAACCGGATGATAGAAAAACGTTAAATCTTTGGCGGCGGGTTGAAAAAAAAATCCCGCCGAGACCGGTTTTAAAAAAGGAAAAACTTGTTTTTGTCACGTTGGTTTTCGGTAAAACTTAACACAGGTCCTAAACCATCGTCGCTGGTACACACATGCACACCCACATTTCATATATTATAAAATATAACCCTTTTTTTTTGTATTATTATTGTCTTAAGTCTTCCAAGAACAATATTATTATGGTTGGGCGGTTAAAGTAGTTTATAATAAGAACGTATTATCGTGTTGGAATCGACTTATTTGCTGATTTTACACCTAAATTGAAAATATGAAATAGTGTTGTGTGTTCGCCTTGGTGGAAGGTTAGGTTAGGTTTAGTTGGGGGGAAGTAATGCCTCACCAGGCGCGTTCCCCCCCAGTTGACTATGGATGCAGGTAAAAAAAAAAAGGTTAGGTTTAGTTAGGTTAGGTTAGGTTTGAAGGTTTTTGGAACTTGAAAGTTTCTCACGCCTGATCCGGGGGTTTTTCTTTTTTGTTGAAAAACTTCAATAATCGGTACATATTTTTTTTTTTTTTTCGTCCACAGTCTGACGAACGCGTCCGAGGAAGGAGCGGACTCGCCGCCGTCGGGACTGACGCCCATCGTGGTGGGCCACAGGACGCCGCAGATGAGCGCCACGATGGAGCACGAGAAAAGGATGCGCCGGGAAATCGCCAACTCCAACGAGAGGCGCCGCATGCAGTCGATAAACGCGGGATTCCAGAACCTGCGCACCCTCATACCGCACCACGAGGGCGAAAAACTCAGCAAGGTGAGTGCGGCCGGATAAATATAAATTGTTTTTTTTTTTTACTTCATTTCCCGACCGATCACGCGTCCGCAACGTGTTCCATTTGGATTGCGTTACGGCCGAAACAAAATACACAACAATCGTTGTGCGTCGCCCGGACGCGCTCTGTCGGCGTTTTTATTTTTATTTCTGTCGGCGGTAATAATAACTTTATGATGATGATAAATGAGATAATAGCGATGATGATGATGATAATAATAATAGGATGCGGCCGCCGCCGCCGCAACATCGTGTATCGTTCATTCATCAACAATCATCACATTGGCGGTAAAACGGAGACGGAAAACCACGCCGCCGGTTTAATATAATAGATAGTAGTGTGTGTGTGTGTGTGTGTGTGTGTAGTACAATCATAGCGGCGGCGGCAGTGCTATGGCATGGTTTGTGGGGCCGCGGTATGGGTGTAGCCGCCGCCGTCGCGGCAACCGGCAATCAGCTGTTTGGCTCTGGTTTATTACATGCCGACGCCATTCCTCCCGCCACCTCCTCCTCCCGTCCGGGCGCGCGTAAGGAGTAGATCCACAGCTGACGCGTTTTTGACGGTGCGGCAGAGCCCGTCTGTAAATGAATAAATAATAATCAATGTTGCCAACCTCTCGACGTGTGCGCGTTAAAAAAAAAACAAATATAATGTTTTGTAATATACTACATTATCGGGGGGAGGTTTCGAAAAACTACAGTAATACCCTCGGACGTGTGTGTGCGCGCGCCGTCTGGTCGGTCGTGTAGTAGGCAACGAGAGTATTGCGCCGTAATTTTTTTTTTACCGCCCGCGTTCGTCTCGTACGTCGTATATATTTAATTGTTTATTATGAATCCTACTCGCTTTAGTATAATATTATTTATATATATATATATGTTACACACTACTATGTTGTTGTGCGGCAGTAGTACTTGCTGCTGTCGCGCACTAACGCGGTGGTGTAGGAGGAGGAGGAGGAGGTGGAGGCGGCGGTGGTGGTTCAACGCACTCGTTGTCCTTCACGCCTAGTTTCTTGTCCCGCGCGTTTGCCGCCGACGGTTCTCGGAAACGTGCGCCTTGCTTTAATATATTGTATTTATATATATATGTATGTATAGTTTTTCATTTCGTCTAGAACGCGCGTCGCGCGCGGTGCATTCTATTATTTGTCCCTCTCCCCCCTTGGTTTATTTTTTATTTTTTCCAAGAAATGCATTATCACGGCCCCGGCGGCAATAATGACCGGCCGTGTCACAAAGTGAACGTCTTGGCGGTTAAAAATAAAATAAAAACATTATAACCGCCATCACCCACCACCTCTGGTTATTTGTCCCTCTTCTGTTGCGTTCCACACTCACACACTGACCTACGGCGTCCGGTGACGATGATAAATCGTGTGTAATAACCCGATCCCCTCCCCCCCTTAATTTCGTTGTAATATCAACAACAATAATAATAATATAGATTTTTGTTATTTAACATTTTCTGGTTTACCCGGAAAAAACCCGCACACGGTGTGGTGAAACTATATCGCCGGAAGCGGAGGGGAAGGTTTGTGGTGTTGGTGGCGGAGTGCCGCAGACGTGTCCGGTTATCGCCGCCGCAGCCGCCCAGCTTTTCCGGCCGACGTTTATCGATCGGTCGGCGGCGGGCTCGAAAGTGACGTCAGCGACTTGACGCTTGCGCCCGGCCGTGACGTCAGCCAGACACCACCGGGTGTATCGACCCTTCCTCTCGTCCGCGGCGCGCAAAGCTTTCGGCCGCCGTCTCGGAACACCGCACGCCGCCACCGAATATTTCCGGGGTCCACTTCGCCCGTCTGGTTACCGTGGCAACCGCGTTCTCCCTCCGAGCGGAAGGCGTTTAATTTTACCTTTACTTTTTTTTTTATTCCTCGAAACATTTTTATTATTTTTTTTCCTTCTTCTAATGAACGGCGGCCGCCGACTCGAGTGTCTCTTTTACTACGGAAAATCGTATTTATATTTTATTCATCCGCGAGTTACTACCGTGTGTATACATTATCACATGGCTACTACTACACACGCTTTTTTTTTTTTTTTATATAAACCCGTCGAGTGGTTGTACATTCCGCCGGCGTTCCTTGCTTAACCACCGCCCGTCACGCGCAACAGTACTCCCCGGGAGCTCCCAGTTCTCGGAACGCATTCTTCGTCGACGACAAACGTTGCGGTGGTACCGTAGCGACACATTGCTAATCGGGTGGTATAGGTAGGACGGGAGAAAGTCGCGCGGCGGCAATTGACCGACAGGAAATGACTCAGACCGGTGGTGTGCTCGGCGGCGGCAGCGGATTTCCATTGAACGCGCGCGTTGTGCCTGCCGCGTATGGATAACCAGGCGCGCAAGCCTTTGGGGTCAACCGACGCCGGCATTCCAACCGCGGCTGCGACGACGGGTCACACGACGCGGTGGTGCGCATGCGCACGAGTGCATACCCACGTTGCTGCTCGTAGGCTGTATTTTTAGAATGCGGCGGCCGCAATGCTTCCTTAAATGGCCGATAACGTTAAAACGTTGCGCCGGCACATTCCGTTTGCGCGTGTCGAGGAGAAATAAGTTAAGATGGAAGAGATGCTACTGGAAACGGCTGTAGTTCCCTAAGGAGGATTAGGGCAAGACAGGATTAGGAACACGAGTATTACAAAGGAAAAGTGATTGGTTGGGATGGACCTGATTTTTGTTAAATATAATGTATACTTAGTTAAGTATATATTTTACAATCAAAACACGCCGGTCGTCGTGCGGTAAACAAGATTATAAAGGGTTGCCGGAAACCCTAGTAAAAAAAAAACCCCGTTTCATATTGTGTTACCGATTATCCATTATGTTTCCAATTATCTTACACAAATGTTGACTCCCCCCCACCCCAGCGTGGACACCGTGTGTTATAATAGTATTGTTATTATAGCTAAACGCTGTTGTTATTAATACCTACCATGGCGGCGTTTGCCGTGTTTCCATCACACTTCTTGTGTGGTATTATTTCGCTTTTAATCGTGCACTAAGATATGTATACGGATAATATGTCCGTGAGAGAAGGTCTTGTCTTAACTGATAATAAATGTTAATAGCAATCATGTCGGCTACGAAAAGCAATATAAGCACAACAACACATCCATTCAGAACTTGTGCCAGAGCTAATCGTCGGTTTTACTAAGAGCTATTGTATCCCGCAGTGGTGGTTACAACCAGGGTACTTGATATGTACCTTTGTTACCTCACATGTTAGGTTTGGTTAAGTTGGGTTAGTTTCGGTTAAGTTGTGTTAGTTTTGGTTAGGTTAGGTTGAGTTGACTTGGGTTAGGTTGAGTTGACTTGGGTTAGGTTGAGTTGAGTTGGGTTAGGTTTGGTTTGTTTTGGTTAGGTTAAAATTTGGCTTAATTTTAGTTAGGTTGTGTAAGTTTTGGTTAGATTAGGTTAGGTTGAGTTGGGTTTGATTTGATTTGTTTAGGTTGTGTCAGTTTTGGTTAGGCTAAGTTGGGTTAGTTTTGGTTAGGTTAGATTGGCTTAATTTCGGTTAGGTTAGGTTTGTTTTGTTTTGGTTAGGCCAAGTTAAATGTAGGTTTGGTGTGAGGTTAGGTTAGTCAATCAGTCTGTCTTCAAACATTGATTCACAATGGCATAGGTACCATTCGTTGTTTTATCGTATGTCAGCCTTTTTTTCTTTTCTGATTAAATCGTAAAAAGGAATTCTTTAAAAAAAAAACCCGTGTGTTTAGCCACAATTGGAATAAGAGAGTGATCTATTACATCTATACAAAAAAAAAAATTGTGTCACTGGAAAAAAAACAAACAACGGGCCAAGTTTTTTTTAATTTTATCATTCCACCGCTAATATTTAGGCCGGCGACGTCTTATCCGGTCGTTTACACACGGTTTATATATACACATTGTCAATACTAGGAAATTGTGCGGCACAGTAGTAGTAAGCCATATTTTTTATATACACTGTTGTTGTCGGAAAAGGTATTTTTTTTTTCATTTACCGTTAACCAAGTCGGACTTTCTAAGACTTGTCGTAAATCAAACGTCTCGTCATGCCGTTACTCGACGCACAAAATGCATATACAGGGTGCCTGCCAGTCAATATTTAATATGTTTCCGAAGAGAGAGAGAGACAGGACTGTTTTGTAAAAAAAAATATTTCCAAATCCATTTTATACTACTACTGCTTGTTGCTATTGCCAACTTACACACACACATAGTTAATTGTCGTCTTGTGGCTTACTTACATTTGTTATTATTGACTGGACTCGTGCTGTGTGTATTTGTAACGGTGTACGGTTGTAGTGTTTATACTTGTATGTGTATTTTATAGTGATTATTGCAATTAGTAGGTACATGAATATATGTTTTATCGCCCTTTTCTGGGGGGGGGGGGGGTAATTATAATTAAAATACCGCTGTACACTTGTGTGCAATAATAATTAACCTAACCGCATCGTTGTTGTTATTATTATTATTATTACTATCAAGTATTATTGTTGTCTAAATTGTAAAACGCAGTAACCCATTTGAAGGCGCTGCTGGGATGATGACGTTGCGGTTTTGTCGACGATTGTGTAATCAGATATTTAATACCGAATTTTTAAACCCATTTTTGGCCCAAAAAGGGGGGGGGGTTGCGTTGTGTCAAACAGTGTCTTGGCGTTTAAGAGATTTGGCTAGGTTGGGTTGCGGTCGTGCGCAATGTGTGTAACTTAACCTAACCTAACCCAACCTAACTAGTTATGGTAATACCGACGTTGCGGTGCAGTTATAGTTGCTCGCGACTGGTTTTCTGCATCCAACAAACGGTCGAAAGTAAAACTGTGCTCAATATTTACCGCCAACGTTTGTTGACGTTTTGTTTTTGCAAATAATTTTCGGGAAAAAAGTTGGAAGAGGAGGCGTCGGCGGATTTGATTTTTGAGGAATTCAACACGTGGACAATGTTTTACGGCGGCGGCGGCGACGACGACGATGTCCCACTCAA